AATGTAATCATGTTAACAATCTATAATCTGATTGGAACCTCTTTTGTGTGTGGTTTCCAATTGAATAATAAGAGTTTATACTATACTTGTTTGACATACCATTAGTGGAACCTCTAACCTTGACATTTGTTATTATCATTGTTTAATTCTTACATTAATATTCCATCTCAAAGTTCTCATTTTCTTCTTCTTTTTCTTCATTTTGTTGTTGTTGTTGTTGTTGTAGTTATTGTTATTATTATCATTTATAATTTATACAATTAACCTTCCTGTGGTTCGATCTTGGTTTTGTCAGGTTATTTATTACTTCGACACTTCTGCACTTGGGAGAAGATATCAATTTTTTAGTCGTGTCAGCTTTCATCATAAAATAGAACTATTTGACACAAATATCATATGTTTTGGTGGCTTAAATTGGTAAAAACAACACTTTTCTCTCTTTAATACGAGAATTCAACAGCTCGTCTCCTTACTCTCTCAACTAGGGACTATAAATAAAAAAAAAGAACTTTTGTATTAAAATTAAATTAAAAAAATACCGAGGTACTGAAATTATATAATTTGTGTGACTTTTAAAATTTAAAGATCAGAATGCATGTTTTGTGAAACTTATAGCAAACTACTCATGTTTAGCCCTTTTTTCACTTTGTTTCCTTTTGTTTTGATATTTTTTTAAATAAAAAATCAAAATTAATTGGTTTTTAATTAGGAATAAGTTGTTGACAAAAAAAATTTGAGAATCAAATTAAAAAAATAAAAAAATTTACATAACCCATCCATAATAATGTGAAACGATGAATAGAACAATAAAAAAACTCATGTTTTTTAGTGTCTTCTTATTAAAGTATGCTTTAGATTAAGATAATGGTTGTTTTTTTAAATAATTTTTTTTTGAAAATATTTTTTAATTATATAATTTTATTTTTTTTTTAAATTTATTTTTAATATCATCGTATCAAAATGATTCAAAATTATAAAAAAATTAATTTAAAACAAAAAAATTCATGAATTTTCATAAGTGTTTTTTGACCCAATAAATAAATAAATTACACCTACTAAACATCCAATTATCTATATAATATGTTAGTGTTTTAAAACAATGTATTTTCATTCCAATTATAATTCCAACTACAATTAGACCGCATAGATAAACGAATCCTCAACTGTTTAAACTTAGCATAGATGCTGTAGAAATCTCTCTCACGCAATTAAACTTAACATGCATGGATCAAATGAAAATGAAGATTAATTTTGAATGACATGCTTAAATTCTTTTTTTTTTTTTTAAATTAACGTGGGGGTCCGGGCCCGCCTTCGCCC